GTAGCACATCATTATATACAGCTAGCCCAACTTCAGTAACCCTACAGATTTTTGAGTGCCGTGTACCACATAAAATCGGTTCGAGGTCAGTAAACACAACCAGAATTTATAAATAAGGCCCACAGGATTATAAGGTGCACTGTCGACTTTTGAGAAAATTAAAGGATTTTGAGTGCGCCTTATAGTGCAGAAAATACAGTATTTTACTTTTTTGAAACGAGAGAGATGATACATAAAAATGTATTTATGACCCCGTTACATTCATAAATGATTGCTTTTTTTTAAAATGTGCTTATCATTCCTGCACTGTTTCCTTCATCTATGAGAGATATTCTAAAATATTCGAATGCCGTGACTTTATACACTCTTTATGGAAACCAGAGTTTGTGCAGACAGCTCCACCAGATATTTATTCTGTAGTTGGCTGGTTTAAAAGGGAGGTATTCCCCGAAACTGCATACACAGTAAAGTATTACGAAATTAAATCAAATGGAAGGAAAAGCAGCAGGTTTGTCCACAGCCTGTCACAGCACGTACCTCATGATAACTCTCCTCTTTGGTCAAGGTCTGTTAGTTATGACTCACTGCAAATCATCACAATGCTATGGCTGCAAGTAGAAATCTCATTTATGATAACATGTATAACTTCTAATAGGTTATCTTGTAAAATGAAAGATATAGCAACACAAGGAGTTTACATTCCCTAGTGCAACAACAAAACAAGCACAGACACATCTGAGAGGGAGAAGAGCCCCTCAGCTCCCAACGGTGACTCCCAAAGAGAGCTGCTTTATCTCTGTGAACGGTTTTTGTAAGAAGAAAATGGTTTCTCTTGAAAGGTGGAAACACAACAAACCTGTCTCACCACTTCAGCCCTAGTGGGAGTCGTCCCTTGAGAGGGTCGTTGACTTATCATGTGCCTCATCACATGAGCCAAGGTGTGGGAAAAACAGGGAGTGGGGCATTATCAGCAGAGGTTTCGGGTGAAACCATTATGAGATCTTGCCTCACCCTGTTATGTGACTTGTTGAGATCAACTGACACAAGATGTGAGTGGGCGTTAAGTGTAACCAAGGTAACATCCAACCCCA